GGAGGAGGAGGAGGAGGAGGAGGAGGAGATTGGATTTATACCCCGCTCTTCACTACCCAAAGGTGTCTCAGAGCGGCTTACAAACTCCTTTCCCTTCCCCTCCCCACAACAGGCACCCCCTTTGAGGTAAAAGAAGAAGAAGAAGAGGAGATGGGATATATACCCCGCCCTTCACTACCCAAAGGAGTCTCAGAGCAGCTGACAATCTCCTTTCCCTTCCCCTCTCCACAACAGACACCCTGTGAGGTAAAAGAAGAAGAGGAGATTGGATTTATACCCCGCCCTTCACTACCCCCAAAGGAGTCTCAGAGCGGCTGACAATCTCCTTTCCCTTCCCCTCCCCACAACAGACACCCTTGTGAGGTAGGTGGGGCTGAGAGAGCTCTCTGAAGAACTGCCCTTGAAGGAGAACAGGAGGAGATTGGATTTATATACCCTGCCCTTCACTACCCGAAGGAGTCTCAGAGCAGCTTACAGACTCCTTTCCCTTCCCCTCCCCACAACAGACACCCTGTGAGAACGGCTCCGAGAGAACTTGTGACTGGCCCGAGGTCACACCAGCAGCTGCATGTGGAGGAGTGGGGACTCAAACTCGGTTCTCCCAGATTAGAGTCCACGCTCCCAACCAATGCTCCCTCTAAGCTGTGGAGTCTTGTGAGCAAACATTCCACTTTGTGAGCGACTGGCATTAAAGTTGTGAGCAAGCAATTTGGCGACGGCATAAATCAGTTTGCTCTGGAGCCCTCCTTCCTGAGCGAAGGCAAAAATGTGACCAGGAGGCTAAAAAACTGTGAGCTAGCTCACACTCACTCAGCTTAGAGGGAACACTGCTCCCAACCACTACACCAAACCAGTGGTTGGGGGGTAGGAAGTTGGTGCCACCAACACACAGAAACAGATGACTATCTTAAAAATAACAAATGATAAAATTGAATTGCTACCTGAAATTGTGTTGTTAAATATGTTACCGGAAAGCTTTAAACGGAAAGACAAATATATGATATTCTTTGTAATCACTACTGCGAGAATTTTATGGGCTAGATATTGGAAACAAGAATATGTTCCTACGCAAGACGAATTAATATCAAAGTTACTGGAAATGGCAGAGATGGACAAGTTGAGTTTAATCCTTCAAGGAAAGGATGAAAAAATATTTGCGGAAAGATGGAAGCGTTTTTATGACTGGGATAATAATAGACTCCTGATTATGTATGAATATATGTTATGGAAGTGTATTTCTGTTTATGGAAAAATGAAAATAAAACCATTAAAAAACACACACACACAGAAACACATATGCGCACGCACACACTCCCCACAACTGGCTCAAGCGAAACAAAGGTCTGCCAAACCAATCTGCTCAGTTTGCGTACAGGGCGCGGGTGGGACAATGCTTACTTTCCTTTCGACACTGTTACGTGCTGAGCACACATGGGCCTACTGAGAGCAGGTGAAACTGCCTACACCCACCCATATAGGGAAGCATAGCCTGGGTTCACAGCTCTGCTCTCAAGACACACTGCCAGCTTCACGTTCCTGGCGCTGGAACGAGGTGCCCCGCAGGCAAACGGGTGGCTCACGGCTGAGCAAAAGACTTCGCCCAGGTTCCGTGGGAGGGGCCGTGCGCTTGCGTCGACCGAGCGGGCGAGTTGCACGTGGCGAACGTGGGCGTCCCGACCTAACCGGTCGGACCACAGCCACACCGCTCCCCGGGTACGTCACGGCCGATGACAAGGAAAGGATACCCTGCTTGGGCTGCCAATCGGGTGACGCGGCCCAGGACCTGACTCACTCCCTGCGAAGGTGGAGGCCCACGCCCTGTGCCCTGCTCTTACTTCTTGGGCAGGGGAGGCTGCCAACTACGTGGGCGGCAGCTGCTATAAATAGGACGAGGAACTTCCGGAGGGAAACGCGAGCCCCAGAGCGGCCGGGCACGGCCCTGTGTCTAACCACTGGGCTGGAGAGCGAACGCGGAGTTCTGCTGAGTCATCTGGAGTCCTGACCCAGCCCCGGCAGGAAGTGCAAATGCAAACATGCGGCTTAGGGAGAGAAGGATCGCTTGCATCGGTCTGATGCCTCCGGTCTGCAGTATACTTTTAACACCATCACGAGCTCCGCGACACAACAGAGGGATAGTGGCTCGGTGGAAGAGCCTCTGCTTGGCAGGCAGAAGGTCCCAGGTTCAATCCCCGGCATCTCCAGTTGAAAGGACCAGGCAGGAGGTGATGGGAAAGACCTTGACCTGAGACCCTGGCTCAGTGGCAGAGCCTCTGCTTGGCATGCCAGAGGACCCAGGTTCAATCCCCATAATCTCCAGTTAAAAGGACCAGGCAGGAGGTGAGGGGGAAGACCTTGACCTGAGACCCTGGCTCAGTGGCAGAGCCTCTGCTTGGCATGCAGAAGGTCCCAGGTTTAGTCCCCGGCATCTCCAGTTAAAAAGACCAGGCAGTGGGTGATGTGAAAGGCTGAAACCCAGGAAAGCAGCTGCCTGTACAGACAATACTGAGACTGAAGGACCGATGGTCTGATTCGGTATAAGACAGCTTCGTGTGTTTGGAGAGGGGCTGTGGCTCAGTGGTAGAGCCTCTGCTTGGCATGCAGAAGGTCCCAGGTTCAGTCTCCGGGGTCTCCAGTTAAAAAGGACCAGGCAGGAGGGGATGGGAAAGACCTCCCGCCTGAGACCCTGGAGAGGTGTAGAGAGGGGCTGTGGCTCAGTGGCAGAGCTCCTGCTTGGCATGCAGAAGGTCCCAGGTTCAATCCCCGGCATCTCCACTTAGAAAGGACCAGGTAGGAGGTGATGGGAAAGACCTCTGCCTGAGAACCTGGAGAGCTGTAAAGAGGGGCTGTGGCTCAGTGGCAGAGCCTCTGCTTGGCATGCAGAAGGTCCCAGGTTCAATCCCTATCATCTCTAGTTACAAGGGACCACGTTGTAGGTGATGGGAAATATCACAGCCTGAGATTCTGGTGAGCTGTAAAGAGGGGCTGTGGCTCAGTGGCAGTACATCTGCTTGGCATGCAGAAGGTCCCAGGTTCAATCCCCAGCATCTCCAGTAAAAAGGACCAGGCAGTAGGTGATGTGAAAGACCTCTGCCTGAGAACCTGGAGAGCTGTAAAGAGGGGCTGTGGCTCAGTGGCAGAGCCTCTGCTTGGCCTGCAGGAGGTCCCAGGTTCAATCCCTGCTTCTCCAGTTAAAAGGGACCAGGCAGTAGGTGATGAGAAAGACCTTGACCTGAGACCCCGGAGAGCCGCTGCCAGTCTGAATAGAGAAGACTTTCCTTGATGGACCAAGGGACGGATTCAGTAGAAGGCAGATTTCTAAGGGTATTTTAGGGGAAACAAATACAGCCAGCTGTTCCTTCCATCCAGATGTGTGCTGGAGCACAGAACTTTCTCGTGGATGAGCCCCCAAGTCAGTCCCTGTTCTCCAGTGGACGTGTTGACTCTTCTGCCGACAACCTTCCAGGTTGAAAAGCAAGCAGCAGAGATTCCGCGGGGATGATTTTAATTGAGATATTTTATTGGTTACAAAGGTACTGAAGAACTTCACAGATTAGCTGTTGTAGATTTTCGGGGCTGTATGACCGTGGTCTTGGCATTGTAGGACCTGACGTTTTGCCAGTAGCTGTGACTGGTATCCTCAGGGGTGGGGTAGGGCTGAGTCATTATCTTGCAAAAGTTCCCCAGGCAGTGAAAACATGCTTATGGAGGAGCTTTCCTGAGGAGGTTCTTTTGCATATGGATTGGCTATTTCCTGAGGAGGTTCTTTTGCATAGGGATTGTTTCCTGAGGAGGTTTCCTGTTTCCTGAGGAGGTTTCCTGTTTCCTGAGGAGGTTCTTTTGTATGCGGACTGGCTGTTGAAATTCTACCCCACCTTCCTGAGTAGATATAAATTACCTGCCTACCATTTTTTTCTTCTCACCTTGACACAGAGAGTACTCCCATCTTTCCGTGTTATATCTCTGAGGATGCCCCTCACAGCTACTGGTGAAACATCAGGTCCTACAATGCCAAGATCATGGCCCTACAACCCAGAAAATCCACAACCACTAATGAACTCTGGCCGTGAAAGCCCTCGACAACAACTTCACAGATGTTAAAAAGTTGGGAGGTCAGATCGTCGTTTGTACATCAGCGGACAAGAAAAGCAAACGGGAAGATTTTCCGGAGAAGGAAAACAACCAAGTTCAATAGTGCAAAGTCACAGATTGGGAGCAACGTTTAATACTCTTAGCGGAGGACTCATCGGCTGGAAAGATGAGGAAAGACGTGGGCAGATCTCGCTCAGTCACCAGGGGACTATGAGCCATCAGTGGGACAGGGTTGCAAAGCCTGCAAATGCAATTATTGACTCGATTAGGTGGGGCCCTTTCGGCAGGCGATGGGAAAGCAGGCATCCACTTGGTTTAAGGCGCCGGTGAAAACACATCCAGAATGCAGTTTTGTACGAGGAACACCTGGAAAGCACAGACGACTATCGTAATTATAGGGAGGAACATAAGAACATAAGAGACGCCAATGTTGGATCAGGCCGAAGGCCCATCCAGTCCAACACTCTGTATCAC